AGCATCATCATGTAGTGCAGATTCAAGTTTTTACAAATCAAGACACCCTGGGGGTAGGTTGGGATCACAATGGAGGATCAAAGTTTAACATAGGAATATCTAGCTAAAATCTTAAAAAATCTTCTCAAGAACAGTTAAACCATATTTATATGGAAGCATCTGCAGATGGTGTAGATTCAAGTTTGTACAACTCTTGACCCCCTGGGGGTGGGGTTGGGCCGCAATGAATGATGAAAGTTTAACATTAGAGTTCAAGGTAAAATCTTCAAAAATCTTAATTGAATGGACACGGCACCCCTCCTCTCAGTAAACCACCCATGCAGAGAATGCAACACCCAGTGGGGTTACCTTCAAATAGATTTCAACCTCCAATGATGAATGTGTCTGCTCCATCCCAAGAATTTATTAATGGCCCACTATATATAGTCCCACTTTATATGAAAGCATTCTCAGGTAGTGTAGATTTTAGTTTGTTCAAAATCATGACCCCTTGGGTAGCTATGGTGGAGCCACAATAGATGATCAAAGTTTAGCATAGGAATATATAGAAAAAAACCTCAAGAACCGCAAAGCCATGGTTTGTAATATATATTTTGAAGCATCCTCTGATAGTGTAGATTCAAGTTTGTTCAAATCGTACCCCCTCCCCCTTACCCCTTCTGACTTTTAGGGGTAGGTTTGGACCACTTATGTATTTATAAGCTTTTTAATACTAAACTGATTTTTGCCTTTTAGCTCTACTGGTCAGAGACCAGAAGAGCTTATGTTATGTGATAGTAATGTGTCAAGCGTCTGTCTGTCTGTAAACAATTTTTCAAAATGTTACTCCTCCTACAGTTTTGGTCTGATTTCAGTATAACTTGGCACACAAGTAGACTACAATAAGATACATTCTATGTATTGGTTTCTGATTTCGATGAATGATGTTGCTGTGGTTACTAAAAATAAAAATTTCTGCAAAATACTTTCAAAATGCTACTCCAAATACTGTTTTAGTCTGATTATAATATAATTTGGCATGCAAGTATACTCGCTGAGATGCGTGATTATCAGTTTTGTGTTTCTGATACTCCAAATACTGTTTTAGTCTGATTATAATATAATTTGGCATGCAAGTATACTCGCTGAGATACATGTTTATCAGTTTTGTGTTTTTGATTTTGATGATTGATGTTGCCATGGTAACATAAATTGAAAATTCTGTTAAGGATATCTGATCCTCAGTCAGGAAGGATAACTCCAAAAGTTGATACTGAATTTAAAATGCATCAAAATGAAGCTTGAAAATGAAATTTTTCATGCATCAATTTTTATTTTATTCATCTTTATAAGATTCGAGGTTTGTGAAAGTCTTAGAAAAGTCTTTTAAAAAGTTGACTTTGTACCTTATAAAAGGAAAAAAAATACAGTTGTAGAGAAATAAGATTTTCTTGAATCCAGCCTTAGATACCAAAGCTTATTAGCATGATATGAAATAAGAAGTGATTTGTGGTGTCGTGCAATGATAGTAAAAGTCTTTTACACTATGTATTTCAGAATATATGACTGAAATGGAAGACAAAAAATACCAAATAAGTATAAAATCATGACAATTTCTCTGAATGCCTGGATAGATATCGTTTTTAGGTCACCTGAGTAAACTCAGGTGACCTATTGCTATCCGTTTTCGTCCGTCGTCGTCCGTCGTTCGTCGTGTGTTAACATTTGAACATTTTCAGCTTCTTCTCTGCAACCACTGAACCAATTTCAACCAAATTTGGCACAAAGCATCTATGGGTGAAGGGGAACAAAAATTGTGAATTTCATGATCCCTGTCCCCCTGGGGCCTGAGGGGTGGGGCCAAAACCACTAAAATTAATGCTATCTTTAAAAATCTTCTTCTTTACTCCTGGACATCAAGCAGTCAAACTGTTTGCATGATTGTAATCAGCATTGAGTCCTTTACCAAAATTTTGAAATTCATGGCCCTGGGGTCAGGGGTTCTAGTGCTAGGGCGGGGCTAAATAAGTATATAGTGAAAATGCATTATTTCTTTGGAAATCTTCTTCTCTACTCCTGGGTATTAAATAAACTAACTAAGTACATAGTTATGATGAGCAAGAGTGCCTCTACCAAAATTGTGAATTTTATGGCTCAAGGGTTCTGGTGTTAGGGCGGGGCTCTATTGATTATATATAGTGAAAATACATGATTTCTTTGAAAATCTTCTTCTCTGCCCCTGGGTATTAAATATACTAACTAAGTGCATAGTTATGATGAGCATGAGTGCCTCTACCAAAATTGTGAATTTTATGGCCCCAGGGTCAGGGGTTCTGGTGTTAGGGAGGGGCTCTATTGATTATATATAGTGAAAATACATGATTTCTTTGAAAATCTTCTTCTCTGCCCCTGGGTATTAAATATACTAACTAAGTGCATAGTTATGATGAGCATGAGTGCCTCTACCAAAATTGTGAATTTTATGGCCCCAAGGTCAAGGGTTCTGGTGTTAGGGGGGGCTCTATTGATTATATAGTGAAAATACATGAATTCTTTGAAAATCTTCTACTCTGCTCCTAGGTATTAAATAAACCAACTAAGTGCATAGTTATGATGAGCAAGAGTGCCTCAACCAAAATTGTGAATTTTATGGCTCATAGGGCGGGGCTGAGATTATATATAGTAAAAATACATGATTTCTTTGAAAATCTTCTTCTCTGCCCCTGGGTATTAAATATACTAAGTGCATAGTTATGATGAGCATGAGTGCCTCTACCAAAATTGTGAATTTTATGGCCCCAGGGTCAAGGGTTCTGGTGTTGGGGGGGGGGGGCTCTATTGATTATATAGTGAAAATACATGAATTCTTTGAAAATCTTCTACTCTGCTCCTAGGTATTAAATAAACCAACTAAGTGCATAGTTATGATGAGCAAGAGTGCCTCAACCAAAATTGTGAATTTTATGGCTCAAGGGTTCTGGTGTTAGGGCGGGGCTCTATAGATTATATATAGTAAAAATACATGAATTCTTTGAAGATCTTCTACTCTGCTCCTAGGTATTAAATAAACTAACTAAGTGCATAGTTATGATGAGCAAGAGTGCTTTTACCAAAATTGTGAATTTTATGGTCCCAGGGTCAGGGTTTCTGGTGTTAGGGCAGGGCTCTATTGATTATATATTGAAAATACATGAATTCTTTGAAAATCTTCTTCTCTGCTCCTAGGAATTAAATAAACTAAGTACATAGTTATGATGAGCAAAAATGCCTCTTTTAAAATTATGAATTTTATGGCCCCAGGGTCAGGGGTTCTGGTGTTAGGGGGGCGGGGCTCAATTGATTATATAATGAAAATACATTAAATCTTTGAATTTTTTTTTCTTTGTCTCTGGGTATAAAGCAGATGAACTACCTTTATAGTTATGATGAGCAAGGGCCCTAATCTTGCAGAATTGTGAATTTCAAAGCCCCAGGGTCAGGGGTGGGGTGGGGGCTCTACATATATACTGAAAATGAATTTATTGTTTGAAACCTGCTCTTTTGTATTTATAAAACATTTATTTATGTTTTGATATTAAGGGTGCCTTTTTGAAATTTGTGCAATGTGTGGACCTAGGGTCAGGGGTTTATGTCACAGTGTTAGGGGCACTACTGGTTAGTTGGAATGCATTTTTGTTCCCCTACCCTGCATATGGGTATTCAGTAACCAAGCTAAGCAACTGCTAAGTGTATTGTTATGATGATCAATGGTGCCTCTTTCAAAATTGTGAATGTCATATAGCATCTGGCTTAAAACATGAATCAAATTCAATAACTGGAAAATTGTTGCATAATGCTCAGGTGACCTATAAGGCCCGTGGGCCTCTTGTTTAACTTAAAATATATTTGTTGATCAATTTCCAATTAAAAAATGCATTGCTGATATTCCAGTTTGCTTTTTTTGCAAAAATATTGGAGATTTGACAATTTTCCCTATATAATATGATAAACTTTAATCCTTAACTTTAAAGAAATACTGTGGATAAATTTACATAACTTTGTGGATTCAGAGTAATTTTTATTAGTATTTTTTATTACTTAACTGCTAATTTTATAAACATGAGGATCGGACTACCTTAAGTTTTAGTAAAGCTAATCCTACAGTTGTAGTCTAATTGCAGTCTTGCCACTTAATCTAGGATCATTATTTATTGCTTTTGTAAAGTTTTAAGTCCAAACTGCTACTTTTCTCTACCTTTATTATAAGTACAAAGCAGTAGAGCATTTCTCTATATGTGTACCAATACTGTAAATTGTTTGTTTAAAAAAAACTTAACCATGTTGACATGGTTGATATTTATTGGTAGTGCATTTGAAATTTGCCATGTTCGTAATATCCTGCTGAGAAATAATCCTTTGTAAGATATGGTGAAAAAGCGATATCTATTTCTAATTTTCAGAAATAATCTTTCATTTAAGATTTAAGACAAGCATTTAGAAGTTTTTATATATATATAATTTTTTATGCAATGGGTAAAAGTAAGTTTTGCCAAGAATCTTAGATGTTGACCGAGGTGTTGTAGCGATGTGTAATACGCCCTCTGGTGAGAGAGTCCCCCCCCCCCCCCCCCCCCCCCCCAAGGATAAGTACTAGGGACCAATTATGCATTTAAGCTTTTCAATACTGGATTGATTTTGCTTTTTCCTAGCCACAGTACTTAGGTAAGCCATGTGGTGCATGGGCCTCTTGTTATACTTTCATGTTAAGTACATGAACATATATACTAAAATCTGATTTTAGACAGAGGTGTTCAAGGTCTAAATGTTCAAACTATTCTGTATGTAAGTAACTATTGTCCTTTCAATAGTTTGTAACCCCTTTGCATGTCAAACATTAAATGTTTACTAGCATACCCATAAGAGTACATCCAGTCAGTTTCCAAGTCATTTACATTTTAAATATAAAGGTCATCTTTTTCAGTATTGTGACACATGGGACATATATATATATATATGTTTTTTTAAAAAAAATTTCTTGAAAGGGCATCAAAGTTGGAAGTGGAGGACAAGTTGAAGAGGAAGCATGAATCTGAGATAGGAGAAAATACAGGGGTAAAAATGACTTGCATTTATCTGTTTAAGCATCCTTGGTGCTTTGAAAAAAAATAAGAAAAGGAGCTTTAAGTATGTTTTTTCCATAACTTGCTTTTTTAGCTCACCTGAGCCGAAGACTCAAGTGAGCTTTTCTGATCAAAATTTGTCCGTCGTCTGTCGTTGTCGTCGTCGTTGTTGTTGTCGTTGTTGTCTTAAACTTTTCACATTTTCATCTTCTTCTCGAGAACCACTGGGCCGATTTCAACCAAACTTGGCACAAAGTATCCTTGGGTGAAGGGGATTCAAGTTTGTTCAAATGAAGGGCCACGCCCTTTTCCAAGGGGAGATAATCATAAATTTGTTAAAAATTAATGGCATTTTTAAAAAATCTTCTTCTCCAGAACCGATGGGCCAGGAAAGATGAAACTCATGTGGAAGCATCCTCAGGTAGTGTACATTCAAATTTGTTCAAATCATGACCCCCGGGGCAAGGGTGGGGCCAAAATGGCCAACCCAAGTTTTACATAGGAATATATAGGAAAAATCTTTAAAAATCTTCTTCTCCAGAACCACTGGGCCAGGAAAGATGAAACTCATGTGGAAGCATCCTCAGGTAGTGTAGATTCAAGTTTGTTCAAATCATGACCCCCGGGGCAAGGGTGGGGCCAAAATGGCCAACCCAAGTTTTACATAGGAATATATAGGAAAAATCTTTAAAAAATCTTCTTCTCCAGAACCACTGGGCCAGGAAAAATGAAACTCATGTGGAATCATCCTCAGGTAGTGTAGTTTCAGGTTTGTTCAAATCAAGACCCCCGGGACAAGGGTGGGGCCAAAATAATCGACCCTAGTTTTACATAGGAATATATAGGAAAAATTTTTAAAAATCTTCTTCTCAAGAACCACTAGGACAGGAAAGATGAAACTCATGTAGAATCATCCTCAGGTAGTGTACATTCAAGTTTGTTCAAATCATGACCCCTGGGGCAAGGGTGGGGCCAAAATGGCTGACCCAAGTTTTACATAGGAATATATAGGAAAAATCTTTAAAAATCTTCTTCTCCAGAACCACTGGGCCAGGAAAGATGAAACTCATGTGGAATCATCCTCAGGTAGTGTAGATTCAAGTTTGTTCAAATCATGACCCCCGGGGCAAGGGTGGGGCCAAAATAGCCGACCCAAGTTTTACATAGGAATATATAGGAAAAATCTTTAAAAATCTTCTTCTCCAGAACCACTGGGCCAGGAAAGATGAAACTCATGTAGAATCGTCCTCAGGTAGTGTAGATTCAAGTTTGTTCAAATCATGACCCCCGGGGCAAGGGTGGGGCCAAAATGGCCGACCCAAGTTTTACATAGGAATATATAGGAAAAATCTTTAAAAATCTTCTCCAGAACTGCTGGGCCAGGAAAGATGAAACTCATGTGGAATCATCCTCAGGTAGTGTAGATTCAAGTTTTTGCAAATCATGACCCCCGGGGCAAGGGTGGGGCCAAAATGGCCGACCGAAGTTTTACATAGGAATATATAGGAAATATCTTTAAAAATCCTTCTGAAGATCCACAGGGCCAGGAAAGATGAAACTCATGTGGAATCATCCTCAGGTAGTGTAGATTCAAATTTGTTCAAATCATGACCCCCGGAGCTAGGGTGGGGCCAAAATGGCCGACCCAAATTTTACATAGGAATATATAGGAAAAATCTTTAAAAATCTTCTTCTCCAGAACCACTGGGCCAGGAAAAATGAAACTCAAGTGGAATCATCCTCAGGTAGTGTAGATTCAAGTTTGTTCAAATCATGACCGCCGGGGCAAGGGTGGGGCCAAAATGGCCGACCCAAGTTTTACATAGGAATATATAGGAAAAATCTTTAAAAATCTTCTTCTCCAGAACTGCTGGGCCAGGAAAGATGAAACTCATGTGGAATCATCCTCAGGTAGTGTAGATTCAAGTTTTTGCAAATCATGACCCCCGGGGCAAGGGTGGGGCCAAAATGGCCGACCCAAGTTTTACATAGGAATATATAGGAAATATCTTTAAAAATCCTTCTGAAGATCCACAGGGCCAGGAAAGATGAAACTCATGTGGAATCATCCTCAGGTAGTGTAGATTCAAGTTTGTTGAAATCATGACCCCCGTGGCTAGGGTGGGGCCAAAATGGCCGACCCAAGTTTTACATAGGGATATATACGGAAACCTTTTAAAATCTTCTTTTCAAGTACTTCAAAGCTATGATTAGTGATATTTATATGGAATCATCCTCAGGTAGTGTAGATTCTAGTTTGTTCAAATGATGAACGCCTGGAGGGGGGGAGTAAATTCAAGCCCGATGTGCTCAGGTGAGCGCTGTGGCCCCTGGGCCTCTTGTTCTTTGTGATATGTAGAGCATGAAAACAAACAGAAAATACTATTTTTAATGCATCTTCATTTAAAATGCATTGAAAAGTAGAATATGTCCCTTTTTTCTCAGAAAAAGCACACTTTAAAGGAGAATGATGCAGTAGCTAGACAAATACTTGTCCTAAAACATTTCTGGATGGGCCTGAAAATTGTTCATAATCTCAGAGACCTGTGATACTCAGGAGACCATTCAAGAGGTTCCATGGGCCTCTTATGTTTCTTGATATTCTAAATTTTGTCTAACAATCAGAACTAGAGTACTGTGAAATCACTAATTTTCAAGGGGTATAATTTTCATGCTTTTCAAGGTAAGAAGAGACTCACAAATTTATGTCCACACCGAAATGCAATTTTTCACATATATACACATGTATATTACTACTGAACAATTCTTCATGAAG